AGGTGCCCGGGGTGCGGGAAGGGGGCCCACGACTCAGACCCCTCTTTCCAGGACTTCAGCCTTGGCTGGGTTTCCTCCCCTGGGGCCGCAGTGTCCTGCCACCTACGCAGGAGGTCAAAGCCGGCGTTGCTCAGGTCGTGGCGTTTAAAAAGGAAGTAAGCGGAGCTTCCAGGAACCGAGCATAATTACAGGACGTAAACTTTGTAGATAATCTAAAATCCCCCTTAGCGTTTCCCAGCTGTAGCCTTGACCTCGCTCAAGTTAATCTTTTTAATATATTTTATGTGTATGAGTGTATTGCATGTATGTAAGCGCACCGTGTCGTGCAATGCCCGTGGAAGTCAGAAGAGCACATTGGATCCCCTCGAACTGGAGTTCCAGGCAGTTGTGGGGTCATGTGGGTGCTGGGAACCGAACCGAGGTCCTCCGCAAGAGCAGCCAGTCCTCAAAGTTTGAGTCATCTCTCCAGCCGCAGCCACGTAGGTCTTTTAACAGTCTTGTACTTCCAGAATTTTAATGTGTTTACATTAGGGACGGTTTTCACCTGTAAAAAGCATTATTTATTGGAGAGGGGAATATCTAAAATGTATGATCAGAATGGTTCTGCAAAATTTTTATTCTCCAAATCAGAATAGACAGGAAAGATATTGTATATAATATGTATGTATTATTGGATGTATGTGTATAAAAATTTTAGAAGTGCCCATATTTTTAAAAGTTTTTCTTTCTTTTTTTTCTTTTTTGGAGACAGGGTCCTGCTGTGTAGCCTGGCTAGCCTGGAATTCACTGTATAGACCAACTTGGCTATGTAGACCAAGTTGGCCTTGGCCTTGAACTCAAGAGTTTAGGTGCTGGCATTAAAGGCATGTGGCCCCCACACCCGGCAAATATTTATTCTTATTTTTAATTATGTGTATATCATTGTGGTGGTCTGTGCAGTTGTCCAAGACCACAGGTGTTGGACCCTTTGGAGCTGGATTTAAGGCAGTGGTGAGTAGCCTGACATGGGTGGTGGGATCCAAACTCAAGTCCCGTGGAAGAGCAGCAAGCACTCTTAACCACTAAGCCATCTCTCTGGTCCCTGCCCTCATTTCTTTAGGGCTCTATTGCTCAACTGCAAGACTTAAAGATTGTTTCCAGGTTTTTGTGCTTGATTAGATTCCACATCAGTTCATCAGTCTTATCCTGGCTGTCCCTTGCCTTCTAGTACAGGTGAGAAGAATCATTTACAAATAAACACTAAAACTCCCAGATACTGGTAATGTTAGTGAGAAGAAGGCAAGAACAGAGGTTAAGAACACAGACTAAGGCTGGGCTTGGTAGTGCATGCCTTTAATCCTGGCACTCAGGAAGCAGAGAATCTCTGTGAGTTCAAGGCCAGCCTGGTCTACATAGTGAGTTCCAGGCCAGCTGGGACTAGAGAGAAACCCTGTCTCAAAAAGACCACACAAACAAACAAACAAAAAACCCCACAGACTCTGAGCTCTTCCTGTGTGGGGTTTTTAAATGGAGTCGTTATCATAAATTGTAGCATCCTGGATAAACCACTTTATCTGTGTTCATTGAGTCAATTACATTAATGTCACTTACAAAGATCCCTATCAGCAATTTAGGCATATGAAAGTATCAACCATTTATTTATTTATATTTTTATTTTATGTGTATGAATGTAATCACCTGCATGTGTGTTAAGTGCACCCATGTTGTGCAGTGCCCACAGAGGTCAGAAGGTGGCATCGGATCCCCTGGAACTGGAGTTATGGATGGTTGTTAGCTGCCATGTGGGTGCTGAGAATTGAACCCAGGTCCTCTGCAAG